GCAGGTAGGCTAATTCACACAGGCAACTGTCCTCTCTCTCTCTCTATCGAACCTCGAATAATTAATTCAAGTAGCTAAATGTTATAATTAATTCAAATAAATGTGATCTTACCGCACTATTTCATCTCTTTCTAATCTGAAGCGGGCAGAATGCTGAGCTAATGAGCTGTAGCTTTGCGTCAGGTGGCTCTTGCCTTCACGTCGTGCATTAAAATCGTTCAATGAATTGTATTTGTTGTTTGTTGATTTTCAAATATAAAACTTATTGAAATGTTTTCAGTGTGTGTATCAGTTCTTTTTGAACGTTTTCATCTAATTTGAACAAAACCGTGATAATACTGATAACCGTGATAACTTTGGTCACTATAACCGTGATATGAAATTTTCATACCGTTACATCCCTATTACTTTCTAATGAATATTCTGTTTCACTCAGAAACATGTAATACAAAATTCAAATGTTTTTAAAGAAGCAAATGTACACTTCACTACAAGGTGCCTGAAACTGAGTATTGAAAAGAGATGCATTCTAGAACCAACTTTTGAAATATAATGCACGATCACTTGGGATAAACTGACTTTATTCTAGCTCTGTATGATAACAGACACCAGGCGGATGTCTCCGGAAACAAATTTCAGGTTCAGTGAGCTGATTGTGGGTGGCCATTGTGGACTGCAAACAAACTGGAAGACAGCTGCCTAGAAACCCTCCCAACACAAAGGCTCCAAAAAGTAAGCAGCAGAATTATGCTGCCTAATAAGTTCCTAAAAACCTTATTTTGTCCAAAATCACATTTGATGTTATGAGGTTCCATTTCAGTTAGGATGCATCCGTAGAGGGTAGCTGTTTATTTAGGTAGTAGACAGCAAGCCACAAACAAAACTTTCAATGAATAATGAATTTTTCAGTTGAATAGTTAAATGTTCTAAGTCGGCATGATATGAAAATTCACCCACTCTATTTTGTAAATGCATTTCATAGATCTTATTGTGAACAATTCATCCTTCTTGCTTTATTTTTTCTGAATTCTGTTACGATTTAATACAAATCTATCATCAAAAATTGAATTTTTTTTTTCATTTTCATTTTTTGTCAAATAAGATGCCACACAAAAGAACTGTATAAATTAAACATGGATGAAAAAAAATTCTTGGTTGTACGATATTTCTTAGAAAAAAATAACATTACTATTACCTTGAGAAGTACATTTAGTATACAATAGTAAATTATTTCTGTCATACTTTCTTCAAGTAAAACCGAACATTTATTTTGGCGGTTTGTCATGAAAATCTTTCAGTTTCAGTCTGTGTTCGACAGTGGTCTTTCTCAAATGAAATAAAGAAAAGCTTGTGAAGTGACTAAGAACATCTCTGGAGATGAAGTTCATGTGAACTCCTATATTGAGACAGCAGATGCAGAAAACACCATAAGCCTCAAGTGCGAGTTTGTGTAGTATTCGAAACCGCACCTTTCATTCTCAGAGACAGGCAGAACAAGCAGACTTAATGTGTTAGACGACATGCACTGACAAGCTATTGTCGCCTTTACTTCTGCTGTGTGACAGGCTGTTAGATTAATCCATATTGAGTAAACAGAGTTTATCATTGTCATCAACATAAATTTCATTGTGATCTCGATATGATATGGTTTATTGCCCTGCCCTATCTCATCCTACATTTCAGCTCAAAGCATTGTGGGTAAAGTAGTCTTTGACAGCTACTCACGTGCATGTTTATCAGCAAGGGCGATGAGTGTTGTAGAGATGTCTCTGCGTCGGTAGAAACACACCACTTTGGCCTCCACGTTCCCATTCGCCGTCTGCAAATGGAAACAGAGTTGTCACAGCAACAGCTTCTAGACCAATCAGCTCCTGGGGAAGCCTCAATATGCAAATTGAGGATCAAATCATAACCATGACCTAAACACCTCTGCACTTCCTGGCTGATTTGAGAGGGTCTCGTGATGGAGAGAAGATGAGGAGGGCAGACAGGGGGGTGCAGTGTGATGTTAGAGGATGCTAAAGGCTTAAAAGTGTGAACACTGTAAGAAAAAAGATAGAAAGCTGTAGCTTTGAGATTTTTCAGTCATTTAGGTGCGGTGTTTTGCCAAACGCTCACTACAATACTGAAGCTCGTCACCCTTTGCATATTTAAAGGTATCACAAACGGTGGTGAAATTTTAAAGAACATTCTGGCCACTATTTTCAATAAAATAAAAGTGAATGAGGACTTGGGCTCTCGAGTTTCAAAAAAGACAAAAACCACCATAAAAGAATGATACAAATGAGTTGAACTAACGAACTGAATCAGCTCAATTAGTGAACGAATCAATCAGACCAAGAGTTTAGAGTTAGGCCTATGATTTAGCCTGGTTTAAAAGGTCTGGCTTGTCTAAAGATTATCGACTCAAAAGAATGATGTGCTCCTAAATCGGAAATTGCTACTTCTCTCATAAATACACAGAGAACAGCTGGAGCAGATTTTGGTCTGTTCCTCACATAAATCCATCCTATGACTTCCAGTGTTATTTTACTATCATTTATATATACCATTACAGCATTTATTAGCATTTAGAATAATTTTTTTTTTTTTTTACATAATCCGTTTTCATTTTAATTTAAGTTTTATCAATTTTGTCGTGTTTTTGTCATTTTTATTTGAAATATTTATATTTATCTTTAATTTTCAGTTTAATTTCAGTATTTCAACTTATCAAAACAACATTTCTAGTTTTCATTTAAGTTTTTTAAATTTAAGTTCAAGTTAGTTATAATCATCTAATATTTATATTTTCTTTTATTTCTCCTTTAAATTAATGAAAACAATAGTTTAGTTTTAGTTAACAAAAACAACACAAATGGCTTCAGAATATAGCACACAAGCCGTACGGACCACTTCTATGATAACTTATTTTCTTTTTCTTTTTTTTTACTAATTTTGGAGCCTGAAAAAAGCCTCAGTCTTTGTTCTCTTTCATTACAAACATTTTTCCACTCTCTTGCAATTGCATTGCCATTTGCTGATATTTCCTCACAAGTGTGTATACTAAAAGAATACTGCGACTTGGCTACAATCCAGGCTTTTTGTTGCAGACTTAAAGCACTAAAGGTTGACCAGCTTCAGTCTTGTAGTGTTTGACTGGCTTTTAGCATCACACACACTCGTTCATCACTCACCTTGTTGAGTTCCTCTATTCGCCTGATCAGCAGTGGGTTACTGGAGGAGTTTTCGAAGTAAACATAATCTGTGAGGAGAAAAAGAAACAACCGTTAGTGTTCACACACCTACAGTCTGTCAGCGACAGGCAGCATCTCCTGTCATGCTCCCACACCTGCTGAGGCTTACCAGATTGTTTCAGAGACTAAACAGAGCATTCTCCGCCGGGATACATGGCTGGAGCGCCGCTGCCTTTCGGCGAGTTCCCCAACAACAACACTTGAAAACAACTGCGTTGACACTGTGAAAAGCTATGGCAATTGTAACTCAACCTCATAGATAACCTTCAGCATCCACTTTTGACTGGCACCAAACGACATGCCACTATCAGGACAATCATGGGCAAAACACAACATTAAACCCACACAAGACAGACATGACACTTTTTTTTCTTTTTTGTCTCGATTGTTAAAAAATTTATTCAAAAATAAAGAATGCAATTCAAATTCACAATTTGAATAAAGCTCTTCTATCATGAGCATGTAGGCTACTTAATTTGGAATTCAATTCATTTTGAGTTTCAAAATGAAACTCAAACTCATTAGCAAAAGTGTCAGGGTGATACAATCATCCTGATGTAATAATGAAAGAAAGAAAGAAATGAAATTCTTGAAAAGAAAGCTTAAGTATTGTTTGAAAAACATTGTCTACCAAATCAAGGTCATGTGTTGCGACCAATAAAATCATGTGTGCCACCAACATGCAGAAAGAAAGAAAAGAAAAAAAAACAGGAAATTGTCAGAGACCACCCCTGCAGAACGTCATGAGTGTGTTTCAAGGTCAAAAAGTCTCTTGTAATTTCAGATAATTTAACATATATATAAATATATATATATATATATAATGTATGTATGAAGATGTGCACACTCACATGTATTCAAGGCATGAGGACAACATGATATCTTTAAAGTCATTCAATTCAAACTTTTTTATAACATTTCTAAGAACATAGATTTTTAAAAGCTTCTTTTATCATAGAGCCACTTTAGCCATTGACCCTCCTACCAATTCTCTCAGTTCTTTCTTTCTTGTGTCAACCCTCCTTTCCCGATGTATTTGTGTCTGTTTGTGTTCTGTGCGTGTGCTGTTGACCTTGCTCCAGGGCGTGTGGGCTCTGTGCAGGCTTACGGCTCTGTGGGACGTCCCCCGCAGGCCTCAGGCTTGGTGGGGTGCCAGGTCTTAACCCTGTGCGCGCCAAGACCTCTGGCAGATTACACCCCGCGTACAGCAGACGGCATACACATACACACACGCTACCACAGTAATCCCATGATTTGGTGGTGGGGGGCGGGGGGACCAGAACATCAAGTCTGGCAAAACACGCTTGCAAACTCAGTGTTTGGTAGCACAGCCATGTGAGCCAACAGTTCCTGTTTCAGAGAGAAGTCTGTTTACTAATACATCAAAATGGATGATTTTCCTGAGAATTTAAAGGGCAATAAAACAAGTGGGATTAAACTCCAGAAGAATTACAAACTAGTGTTGTCAAAAGACCCGGTATTTCGGTACCAAGTCGGTACTAAAAAAATGAAAAC